TAAGCAAAGGGAAGTTGGGATTGTAACTGGAACTGAGTTAAACTTAAATACAAGTCTTTTGATGCTAACTTGAATGGTCTTTTCACTCTTCAGTGCCCCCAAGCTTGGCTTACTTCCTACTGCATTAGGGAAATTATTTGAATATTGCTGTCAAAGAAAGCTTTTCTTTAATTGGCCATTCCTGGAATTCTGTTCGATATGGGATTTTTTTTATGGGGTTTTAATTCTTACTTGTTTATAGTTCAGACCATAAGAAGTGCTTTTCAGAATGAAAGAAAAATGGGTATGTGAAATGCTCTGGAGCGCTTCTGTTTGTTGTTTTGCTTTGTTTTATAACATTTGGTACCAGAGTTGGCATTTGTAGAAGCGGAAAATGTTGGCTTCTGCTCTGCAAGAGACTTCTGGCTTCTGTTCTTAATATGCATGTACCCACATGCCGCTGTGCACAGCCTGATTATTTTCTGCTGTGAGACATTTCCCATGTCCTTTTTTAGAATTTTCATATGTACGAGCAGGTAAACGCAGTGAGCTCTGCAAGTCAGGTGAACTCCATGGAGCCGGGCACCTCCTGTGGCTCAGACTCACCATCATCATCATTGCACGTGTGTTCTTCCTTGTCCCAGACCTCCAGAGAAGCCAGCCTCCTCAGCCTACCAGTTGTTGGCTAATTATCGAGGGTGCCTTCTGTCTGCTTTAGTTTAACTTTTTATCTTGGGATCATGTCAATTCACATGCAGCTAATAACACGAGAACCCACGCTCGCTTTACACAGTGCACTGTTACAATGAGGATGTTGACCTCTGTACAGTCCAGATCCAGAACATTCTAGCGCCACAAGGATCCCTCCTATTGCCCTTTCATAGCCATACCCACATCTTCCCCCAGCCCTGGTGACCACTAACCTGTTCTCCATTTCTACAGTTTTCTCATTTCCACACTGTTACGTATCAGTGGACTATGGGGTTGGGTTTTTTCACTCATTCTAATTCTCTGGAAATCCATCCAGGTTGTTGTGTATATCAATAGTTTGTCCCTTTTTATTGCCACATGGTATTCCTTGGCATGGATGGGACCACATTTTAGTTAATCACTCACCTGTTGAAGGGCATCTGGATTTTTCCCAGTTTTGGGTTATTGTGAATAAAGTTGCTATAAACACTGATGTGTTTATAATTTTAAGTAATCTCTACCCCCAAAATGGGGCTTGAACACACAACCCCAAGATCAAGAGTCACATGCTCCATTGAACCAGCCAGGCACCCCCATGTACCCATTTTTTATGTGAACATGTCTTCATTTCTCTGGGATAAATGCACATGTTTAGTGTTTAAGAAACCACAAGACTGCTCTCTGGGGTGGCTGCACCTGTTACATTCCTGCCAGCGTTTGGGGTGGCCACTGTTTTTTATTGTAGCCGTTCTCACAGGTGTGTGGTGCTATCCCGTGTGGTTTCGAGGTGCATCTCCCTAAGGGCTGATGACATTGAACACCTTCTCACGTGCTCGTTTGCCATCTACAGATATGTCTTCTTTGGTGAAATAACCATATTTTTTGCCCATTTTCTAATTGGATTGTTTTATTGTTTAGTTTTGAGAATTTCTTGTGTCTTCTATTTGTCGGATATGTGGCTTCCAAAGATTTTCTCCCTGTCTGTAGCTCGTCTTTTCATCTTCTCAGTAGGGTCTCAAGCAGAAGTGTTTAGTTTTGATGAGGTCCATTTATCAGTTTTTCCTTTCATAGATGGTGCTTTTGATCTGCAGAAGAGTCTGCAAACTCTTTGCCTATAGATCCTGAGGGTTTTCTCCTATGAATTTCCTAAAGGTGTTATAGTTTTGCGCTTTACCTTGAAGCTCCAGGTCCATTTCAGGTGGATTTCTGTGTAGGGTGTAGACTCGGGTGTCGCACTGCTCCAGCATACTTTGTTGACAGGTCTGTCTGTCCTTCTGCGCTGACCGGCTTTGGCATCATTGTCCGTGATCGGCCAGGTGTGTTGGCGAGAGCCTCTCTAGGTCCTTCCTTCTGCTCAGCTGTGACCTGCTTGTCTGTCCCTCGCTAATTCCACACCATCCCGATGACTAAAGCTGTATAGTAAGTACTTTATGATGGCTGCTTGGAAATCTTCCCCCAGTGACTCTAACATCTCTGGGTGGCATCTCCTGTTTGATGTTTTCATTCAGTTTGGGATCTTCGTGGCTCTCGGTATGATGAATGATTTTTTACTGAAACCTGAACATACTGTGTTACAGGACCCTGAATGTTACTTAAACCTCGTGTCCTAGCTGACTGTCCCTGGCACCTCCTGCTCTCCCTGGTAGGGGTCCAGGTTCCCACCAGGCCACTGCCAATAGCTCGCAGGCTTGCTCCTCTTCCGTGGTCTCCTGGCAGCCCCGGGGGTGCTGAGATGGGCACCTCGGCACCTCAGACAGGCCCCCCGAGTGTCCCCCTGACTCTGCCTTGCAGCTGGGAGGGTGGCGTCTGGCTGGAGTGGGGCCTCTCTCCTCCATCCGTTGCCCCATGTAGCTGGCAGCTCCCTCTCTTGGACCTTTGGCCGAAAGAGCAGTCCTTGTTTTGTTTGTTTTTGTCTGTGCCATTCTCACTGTTGTTCCCAGGCTGCTTCAGCTCCCAGGCTAGGGTAATAATGCAAAAGCAGACGCAGGGCACTCCCTGCCGTGCGCTCCTTGGTCCCCGGGCTGGTCTGCCTTCTTCCCTCCACGCTTCAGAGCCCTTCTGATGTTTGCTTTATGGGTCATAGTTCGGGCTTCTCTGAAGTGCTTTGTGATGGCCTGTCTCACACCAGCTCTGTGCTTTCCTCTCCGCCACCGGAGTCCTGGCCTCAGGGTGCGCCCCAGCTGGCCTGCCCTCCAGCCTCCGATTAGCACCTGTGTACCCGTCGTCCTGCCGAGGGACTCCTCAGAGCACCCATGTGACTCCGAGGGCATGTGCTACTTCTGCACTCGCGACCACATCTTCCCTCCCACTCTGGACCTCAGGAAGTTACTTTTTGTTTAAATTTATTTGACAGAGACAGAGAGAGAGCACAAGTAGGCAGAGCGGCGGGCAGAGGGAGAGGGACAGGGCGGAGCAGGGAGCCCGAGGTGGGGCTCGATCCTAGGACCCTGGGACCATGACCTGAGCCAAAGGCAGACGCTTAACCGACTGAGCCACCCAGGCGCCCCTATTTATTTATTTTTAAAGATTTTATTTATTTGACAGAGAGAGACCCAGCGAGAGAGGGAATACAAGCAGGGGGAGTGGGAGAGGGAGAAGCAGGCTTCCCGCGGAGCAGGGAGCCCGATGCGGGGCTCGATCCCAGGACCCCGGGACCATGACCTGAGCCAAAGGCAGACGCTTAACGACTGAGCCACCCAGGCGCCCCAGGAAGTTCCTTTTTTATTAAAACTTGCCATAATGGGAATATTAAAGCACATGCAAATACAGAATTGCAAATGAACCCCCACATGCCCACCAGCCGGCATGAGCATACCAACCTCGACCCCTGTTTCGCCCAGACAGCATCTGCTTTCTCCCCCACCATACTGTGTTAGTTTATAAGAATAAACCCCAGATGTTATCATTTCATCTTTAAACACTTCAGTATGTCACTAAAATTTAAGTGCTATTTCCACACCTAAAATGACTAATAATTCCTTAATCAGCTATTCAGGTGATATTTATTTTTTAAAAAATATTTATTTGAGAGAGAGAGAGAGAGTGGGTGCAAGTGCAGTGGGAAGGGGCAGAGGAAGAGAGAGAATCTCTGGCAGACTCCCGACTGAGTGCAGAGCCTGACATGGGGCTCCATCTCATGACCCTGAGACCATGACCTGAGCCAAAACCAAGAGTCAGACACTTAATGACTGAGCCACCCAGGGGCCCCTGAATAAAGGATTCTAAGTAGAAACTCATTTAACTTTTTTTTTTTTTTTTCTGTGGGACTCGATCCCAGGACTCCGGGATCATGACCCGAGCCGGAGGCAGTTGCTTAACCAACTGAGCCACCCAGGTGCCCCGAAACTCATTTAACTTTTAGCAACAAATTTGCCACGTATACATTGAGATTCAACATTGTTAATAAATGATTGTCATGAAAACTATATGCATTTTAGATAGATGAGAGAGATTTATAACATATGCATGATTTAGCACGTTTTAGTTACTGTTTTCCTAAAAACACTGGATTTGCCTTTCAGTGACATATAAATTCTGTTTGTATACGAAGCAAATGTGGCTACGACATTTGCAGTCTTCTTTTCCTTGCTTTCAGTGTGATGGGTCCTTTATTACAGATTATGCATTAGTACACAGTCCTGCAGAGTATAGCTACAGTATTCAGGACAAGGAGACCATTAAACTTGTTAATAATTAGATCATTGGAGTAACTGTTCTTTGAGGATTTCCTGTGGTTTCTCCTGTCAACAAAATAAGAAGTTATACATTGCTAAGGAATTAGATCTGATTTGAATAGTCGTATGTTCTTTAGTTGCATCCATACGAGATGCTGTTCGGGATGAAGAAGAGCAGCAAGGTGAAACCCTGGGGTGTTTTTGCTCTGCATCTTCAGTTTATAACCCAGACCAGAGTCCCGAGAGCAGTGATCCAGCGGCAGGTGGGCTGGCATGTGTGTGGCTCCATCATCTTCCGTGATGACCTGGTGCGCCTTCGTCCCGTCCTGTGGGAGAGCTGTCTCTGAGACATCCTTGTCCTCACTGTCCTCTGGGGCCCAGCCCTGCTGCGGGGCCGCCCTCCTCGGAGTGGCACTTGATCGCGGGGTGGCCCCTTTCTACCTGTGCCATCCTTCCTGACAGCGCAGCCCTGGTCGGCCGTCCTGTGGTGTCCTGGGCCGTGCAGATGCTCTGTCCCCGACAGCAGACCTTACCACCCTTGCTTCGTGACTTTCTTCTTGAGTTTGTAGTAATGTTGTACTCGTTCCCTCGGGGCAGGCTGACCTCATCTGCTCATGTGACGGACACGCTGAACATTCTTTTCTTGCTGTCTTTCAGACAGAAACCATCTCCGCCAGTCAAGAAGCCCTCAGAAGTCCTTTGCCATGGACACAGAAGATGAAGAAAACATGAGTAAGACCTGGCCTCTCATGTAGCACCAAGTAGCTAACCCTCCATTAAAACCTTAGTGTTCTTGTCAGTCTTTCTAATGAGACTAATTTGGGGAAAGTGATTTTTTTCCTACAGTATTTCCTACATCATTAACAAGGCATGTTTTAAATTTCTGATGTATTCTCTACAGTGATGTTGGTACTTGCTGTGGGCATTTTCCTAAAGCCGTGTGTCTGGACCGTCTGTCACTCTGGGGCCACCGTGCGTGTACCTGCAGGTGCACACTCACCTCCAGACGCGTTTCCCACAGAGCTGCATGGTTTCATGCGATGTCACAGCCTGGTCTTCTACTGGTGGCCAGATTTTCATCTGTGCAAATCTAAAATACCCTTTGAGATTGATTTAAGTACTTGGTCATTTGGGATGACACTACCTAAATTTTTCCCTGTAAATACGATGGGTTCTCCCTGTGCTTTGAGGGAAGGAGGCTCCCATGAGGCTGCTGATTTTGTTTGCAAGACGTCAGCGAGCCTTTGGGCTGCTGTGGACCCGAGCTCCCTGCTGGGCCTGTTCCGTGTCCCACACGGTTCTTTCTGGGGTGCAGGCTGGTGAGCCTCAGGGGCACACAGCTTCCCTCCCACAGCGGTGTTCTTTGTGAAAAGAAGTTCCCTGAACACCTGTCTTCTATTTTATCTTTAACCCCAGATAGCCATGCATTTGAGTAAGATTTAAAGGCTCCCATCGAAGTTGGGAGCTTTTAGTAGGGAAATTACAGCAAAGCACCATCTTTCTGATATACGTGTATGTGTACATCTCACTTGTCTGTGTTCGGTGGTTCTCAAGGAAGAACATGCAGGTGTAAATGATGAGTGACAGCCTCTTGAGAGTGGTCACGTGACTAGAACAGAGCTCAGTGCACCTCCCTGTGACTTCCTCCAAAACCGAGCAGCGGAGGCCTTGCCCTTGAACTAGTCTGCTGCCGAGCACCCAGTAGCTCACCTGGCAGAGCCCAGCTGCCCCACGGGCCCCGCTGCGGGGGACGCAGTGGGCTGGGCCTTTGTCACACGAACCGCGCGGGAGGTGTTCTCTTGGCGGTCGGGGGCGTGAGAAGGCATGAGCGGTTGCTGTTTCAGCAGCGAGACCACAGCTCCGTGAGCTGTCTTCCTGTAGGCTGCCGTCCCCATCAGAGCCTCCTCGGGGGTCCGTCCCGCTGGCATGGCCACTTTTCCCCGTGCGCTGCCCCCCGTGGGGACTGCGTGAGCACCTGTGTGCCAAGCCTCCTTTTTTGGGGACTGGGGCTGTCGTCCACGGCGGCAGTCACTGGGTTGGGGTGGAAACTGCGGTGTGTAGACCGTGTGGTAACTTGCCAAGATAAAGGAATCTTCTGAGTGATGGTGCGGGAGGGATGAATGCGGTTCCGGAGCTGGAAGTGGCGGGAAGTCCTAGATGTCCTGCCATTTCAGAGGCAGCGGAAGATCTTATCACGGCCGCGTTCACGTTTGTGGAATAAAGCAGCACGTGTGTGTCTAAGAGCTGTGACAGTGGGGCCTCTTTCCCTAATTCTAATACTGATTTCCTCTGCGTAGTAGCACGTCTAATTAGACGGAAGCTGAGCAGGATCTGAGCGCTCCTGGAGCAGAGATAACAACCCGGGATTTGTGTAAAGTGTACTGTAGGACGCGTGTTTCTCTTACAGTCTCAAGCTTATCTGTCACCAGCCCCGGTCATTTTTATTTCCTAAGGGCCGGCCTTTGTGTCAGAGGGTGTGTGTGCCCGTGACGTGGCCCGACCCCCATGCCCGTGACCCCCCACGGGCAGCAGCATCAGGATGTAAGTGCTCACGTGGCGTGTGCGACTCTTGCTCACGTGTTAATCTAAATCTGTCTCGCTCTGCCCTTTTTAACCTCTCTTTCTTCTGAGCACCGAAAGGAGTAACCTATTGAGCTTTTGCTGGAGGATGTTATAAATGAAAATTTAGTGTCCATTCCATCAGCTTTGTCAACTGGGAGAAGTGGTGTGTGTGTTGGGAGCCCCGGGGAGTATTTGCCGTCGGCAGAGAGCCGTCTCTCGTCCCCTCATCTCTGCCTTGGCACGGAGGCCGTTTCCCAGGGGTTAGTCTTTACACCTCAGCCCTGGAAGCTCGAGGACTTGAACTTCGGGGATTGGTAGCCGTCAGCACAGACTTTCTGTCCCAGTTGCCTCCCGTGTCCACAGAGCTGTTTGCTCAGGATCACGAGAGTCTACACGTAGATGACTAGCAGAAGGACCCTAGGGCCCCCACGTCTGGGGCCACTTACACCTGCAGAAGCTGCTGTGGTTACTTACCGTAGCTCTCTGATGGCTCGTGGCAGGTCCCACAGACAGTGCCTCAGAGCCCCGCGCTTAGCACTCCTGCGCTTCATGCGGCAGGCGGCCTGTGAAAATCAACCAGGAAAGCAAGGCGTTTTTTTCTCTTTTTTTAAAAAGCTTGATAAACTTACAGGGAAGAATGAATACTTTTTTATTCCCCTTCTTGAAACCAAAATCATACTTATTTTGCCATGAACTTTTAGAGTTTTAAAATTATCCTTATTAATTGTAAATAGAACTACCTTTAAAAGGTGGGATAACCAAATTATTCTGTAAATCCATCAAATATTTGTTTTAAAAAAAGATAAAAATCGCTGGCTTTACTTACAAAGTTAGGAAGCTGTAGGCTGTTTGCAGCTTTAATTTTATGTCTTTTTTTTTTTACATATTTTTCCCTATCACGGAATTTTGTAAGGGTTAGGAGGTAAATCAGTCCCCGTGTAGCATGGAACCAGGGTAAGCATGTACTAGAAGTGAAGCTGCATCCTTCAGAAATCTCCACTAGTCTGGAGCACTTCCCAGCATTTACGAGGCGTTCTCTGAGATCGATTCATGCACTAGGTCAAGTAACCGCACACATTGATCTGAAAGCTGATTAGCTTGTGAATGCCTGTTTTAAACCCTGTTTCCTCTTCTGGACGAGGCTGCTGTCCAGAGCCCGGGAGCCCGAGAGCAGGGACATCGGAGAGGAGGGGCAATGTGTCAGCACTGACAGGAGAATTTTCAGGAGCAGTTCAGCATCCCACATTTTGATAAGCTTGGATAGAGCATCTCTAGATGCCTCAGAATGTTCTTGTAGGAAGGAAGCAGAAATAAGTTAGATTAAGCTTTTAATGCACGAGCGGTTGGTGACGCTAACTAGGAGTGGCGTCTGGGGGTTGGTTCCTGGGTGGAGTGGTAGCTTTCTGCACACACAACGAGGAACAGAGGGTGTAAGCACACATCACTTAACCAGTTACAAAGAGATAAAGGGATCTATAAATTTTGCATTTACAAGATCCTGCAACGAAGGCGTTGTAAGTTACTCTTTCTGGGCACCACAGGTTCGAGCAGCACAGATGTTAAGGAAAGCTGCAGCCTGGACAGCGTGCCCCCCAAGGACGGCAGCGCCCCCGGGCCTGGCGAGGGCGCCCCCCTCTCCAACGGGGGTGGCGGTGGCGCCAGCCGGAAGCGGCCCCTGGAGGAGGGCAGCAACGGCCACGCCAAGTTCCGCCTGAAGAAGAGGCGGCGGCCGCCCGGGCCCGCGCTGCCCAAGAACGCCCTGATGCAGCTGAACGAGATCAAGCCTGGCCTGCAGTATGCGCTGCTCTCGCAGACCGGGCCGGTGCACGCGCCCCTGTTCGTCATGTCCGTTGAAGTAAACGGGCAGGTGTTTGAGGGCTCTGGCCCCACCAAGAAGAAGGCCAAGCTGCACGCTGCCGAGAAGGCCCTGCGGTCTTTCGTGCAGTTCCCCAACGCCTCCGAGGCGCACCTGGCCATGGGGAGGACCCTGTCCGCCAACACGGACTTCACGTCCGACCAGGCCGACTTCCCCGACACGCTCTTCAACGGCTTCGAGACCCCAGACAGGTCGGAAATACCCTTCTACCTGGGCTCCAACGGGGACGACTCCTTCAGCTCCAGCGGGGACCTCAGCTTGGCGGCGTCCCCGGCGCCCGCGAGCCTGGCACAGCCTCCTCTCCCCGGCCCTCCGCCGTTCCCACCACCGAGCGGGAAGAACCCCGTGATGATCCTGAATGAGCTGCGGCCGGGGCTCAAGTACGACTTCCTGTCCGAGAGCGGGGAGAGCCACGCCAAGAGCTTCGTCATGTCTGTGGTGGTGGACGGCCAGTTCTTCGAGGGCTCAGGCAGGAACAAAAAGCTCGCCAAGGCCCGGGCTGCGCAGTCCGCACTGGCAGCCATTTTTAATTTGCACCTGGATCAAACACCGTCTCGCCAGCCCATCCCCAGCGAGGGCCTTCAGTTACATTTGCCGCAGGTGAGGAAACGTGCCGCTGCCGGAAACGGTGGCCGTGTCTTGACAGTGCTTTCAGACAGGGCTTCGTTCTCCTGGTCGCTGTTGATGTCCCATCTGAACGTCCCTGGTAAGTCTGGCTCCGGGCGGTCCTGCCCTGCCGGGCGGGTCATGCTGGGCGGCCTGTCCAGGGCCGTCACGTGCGGGCGGGACACATGAAGCCCCGTCCACCAGAGCAGTGCTTTCAGTGGCCTCCAGGCCGAGCCCTGCCCTGTGCCCCACAGCAACCCGTGGCTCCCTTCCCACATAATCCACCCTTGTGGGGACCCACGTCCCGCTGCAGCCTGTGACAGGAGCAGCTCAGCGGCGTTTCCCGCAAAGTCTCGCCAGGGAATCCCAAGCACAGAAGGGAGGCCGGCTGGCCAGTAGCTGAACCCCTAGTGCGGGTACGGGTGGGTGACTTGCAGCTCCAGCAGGGCTGAGGGCTGAGGGGCCAGCCGGGCCGAGGACACCCCACAACAGGCGTGAGCCTCTCGGAGGGGCAGAGGGGCGAGGGGCGGAAGGGGACCTTCAGCGGCACTCAAGGTGCCCTGGAATCTGTACCTGGAATGTCCTTGGTGGGGTCCACGTGGGTCTCCCTGCTGCTCGGCTGGAGGTAGGCGGCCGCTCTTGTTTGGTCTTGGACGGCCCTCCCACATAAGACCAGGGTGAGGATGGGGGATTTCAGGGTGGGCTCATGGCTTATGTCAACGGGGAGATAGTGTGTAGCTGGCATCTCTTTATGTATTGCTTCTCTTCTTGGAAATCCAGGTTTTTAGTGTAAAAATTATCCTTTTAGAGAGAAAATCTGACCACCCTTCTTTATTCCTTTTTGTCAAAATATTACTGATGTTGAAGATAAATCATGTACTGGTTTGATCAGGAAAAATGAAGGGACTAGGTCGCTAGATGGGACAGCTTGTATTTCTCCTAGAAGAATCCAAGTGTCACAGCTTATCTGGTGCCTTTGAACACGAGTAGGGTAACCTCTCCGTGCTGTTGCCTGAGGTGACCAGTACTCCTAGGTTTTAGAAGAAGAAACTTTATTTTATTTTGCCTAAAGCAACCAAATACAGCATCAATATAAAGTAGCGTATTTGAAAATCCTACTGGTAGTTAATGAACCAAATAATCACATCCCATATTAACCTCTTACGCACATTTTTCAGACGAATAGTAGTCCGTTTATCATTTCACACGTCAGTGGTGCTGGTTCCCTGGGACTTTTATTTCCAGGTTTCCTGTTTGCTTCAGTATCTTCCTGCTTGAGTTCACACTGGTGTCTGGTGCCCCTGCCTGCCCTTGACCTCAGCAGAGTCGTGTGTGAGACGATTGGAATCCCATCAAATGTGGGAACCCCCGGTGCCTGGGCTTTGCAGGGTGGAGGGGTCACACCATGGCGGGGAGGCATGCGGGGGTCCCGGCCTGGGCCTGTACTTCCGTGGCAGCTGAGACCAGAGCCCTGCTGGGGGCCACGTGGGCCTCACTGGGAGGGGCTTCCGGGAATCTGGTCTAAAGGAGAGGGGTAGACGGGCAGGGGTCATCTCAGCCCTGCCCCAGGCCGCTTGCCCGAGTTCTGCGAGCGCCCGGTGCTGGTGTGGAGCTGCGTGTCCCGTGTCTGCTCCCTGTGCCCCCACTGTGGTGTCTCTGGAGCCCCGCGGGAGCTCAGGGTATGACCACACTTTCCTTGGAGGACCTGGGGTGGCCTGCGCAGAATCAGCCCTGGCAGCTTGATTTCTGGAATCTTTGCATTGGAAGTTTCCAGTGTGCCTTCTGGAGTGGTGAGCATCCTCACCGTTGGCCTGGAGTAGCCCTTGAGTCCCTGGTCTTGGAACTTCTTGCCTTCATCGTGTTCATAGGGCGTTCCAGGGTTTAAACCCGGACGTCGTGGCCACGTGACGTGTGCAGAGCCCTCTGTCAGTGGTGGATTCTGTGAGAGCTGCAGAATCGGGCCGTCAGCTCCTGGGCACTGTTGCAGGGAAGGGGTGCTGCCTGGGGCTGTGGGGGCATGGGTATGACTCTCGTTGCATCTGCGCCCAACATGTAGAGAGAGAGTTGCTTCTTTACCCGGAGGAAGGAGGCTGTACTCTCTGTGAGGGGTCGGAGGGACTGTCTCGGTGCCGAAAATGCCTGCCTCTGACCAGTGAGGGTCCACGTAAGGGCCTGACCTCCATCTGAGTGTCTCTGAGCTCTGGGGTTTGGAGATAGGCCCAACCTTCCATGAAACGGAAGTTTTTCTTTTCTGTGGCTTATCCTTAATCTCTCTTAGGATTTTTTCTCTTACGTAAATTGGAACACGTGGTCCTTCATCTTTGATCCCCTCCCCACCGTGTCGCCTGCACCTGCACGTGTGGCACCGATGCTCTGTTCTGGGTGCAGGGGGCCTGCCACCCCACGTCTTCTGTCCACGCTCCCCGCCCCCCGCTGGAGCGCAGTCTTCTGGGGCTCCTTGGTACTTACTGGGGCAACGGCAGGAGGAAGAAATCCTGGTGACATTTGTTCAAAATAAGTCATCATTTAGGATGAGGGACGTTTCTGTCCATTTGGGGAGTGTTTTATTACGGGCCAAACTGGGGACACTCGATGTAGCTGTTTGATCGTCAGGCGTGAGATTGGGAGGACACAGCTCTTCACACACACCCCCTGTCAGGCATCATTTCCCAGAAACACTAGAATCCAAGGTAAATTATAAGCTGTGAAAACAAGATTGGACAGATGCCTTTGCTCCTGGGAAGGGCTCCCCCCAGTGCAGGCTGTCTGGTCTGGCCATGTGCCAGCCACACTTAAGCCCGTCCCCAGAGAGCGTGGCCGTCAGTGCCGTCTGGCGTGGGCTAGGTCTACGGCAGGTGCCCTCGCAGGCTCTCGTGGGCGTTGCTTCCCGGGCCGTGGCTGAGCGCAGCCGTGTGGCTCTTCACCAGGTCGTTCTCCCCCTGCCCCTTCTCTTGCCCTGATGTTGTGGGGCACACTCGAGGGCGTGTTCCCCGGCCCGGCCAGTCCCTGAGTGGACGGCCACCCCTCCTGTGGTCAGAAAAGGAGCGCTTTCACTTCTTCAAAAGCCCTGTTGCTCCAGGGCTCCTTGGAGGCTGGGTGAGCCAGGTGCAGAGCTGGGTGCAGAGTCGTGGAGGGTGTGAGGCAGGTGGCCCAGAGAAACCGCTCTGGCTGGTCTCTGCCTCAGCGTCCTCATCCAGGGGCAGGGCTGGGCTATTGGGAGGACCAGAGGGGTGGCGTGGGCTCTGGACTGTCCCTCTCCGTGAGACACTCGAAGGACTCCAGCCAGAGCCTCCAGTGCTCCTGGGGCCTCTGTTTCCAAGGAATGTTTTGGAGGGGAAAAAGCATGCACACACACGCGCGCGCCCGTTTGCCAGTTTAGCCTGTGTGGTTTTCCAGAAGAGAAGCCATCTGTAAGGCCACTGTCAAGGGACGGCCTTGTTGGTGTGCACGGGGCGGGTGCAGGCCGCACCCCTGACTCCCTGCTGTGGTCCTCAGGTGTTAGCCGATGCCGTGGCCCGCCTGGTGCTGGATAAGTTTGGCGATCTGACGGACAACTTCTCCTCTCCTCACGCACGCAGGAAAGTTCTTGCCGGCATCGTCATGACAACAGGTAAAACGCTGGTGTTGCATGTCAGCCTGCCTTGCTTCCTGCCTAACAGAGAGGGGACGTGCTCTCAGGCTGGGACCACCTCTATGACACTGAGGGGGCCGTTTTCCTAATCCTTCAGAATCCCTGTCATGTGCAAATGTAGGAACTGCACTCACATTTTCCCCTACATGTTCGTTTCTTTAACCTAGGTTTTCTTATTTGGAGAAAGCATACTGTATTAATATCTGATTCCTGTAATCACATGTGAGTGGTTTTGATCGACTCTGGAAAAATCCAGCAAAATGGCACCTCCCCCTTCCTGCTTCATTTGCAAATGGGACGCATTTGGCTTAACCAGTGGGGACGCTACCAGCTAGTTTCTGTGGGACTTTTATGTGGGAGACAGGCAGCTCTAGCAAGAGCAGAAAATGCACAGGTAAAAAGCACACTTCAGGATGGCAGAAGGAGCCCTTTAAATTTACACAGAAATTCCCACCAACGCGAGGAACCCCCCTGAGTCCTTTCCCGCACCCCAGGGGTGAGGATGCTGAGCAGCATCTGCCCGTGGACCACTCCCAGGAACAGGAGACCACAGCGGTGGCCCAGGCCTGGATCCCTGCTCCTGTGGGGCCTTCTGCCCTGGGACAAGCACTCGGCCCCCCGCTGGCTGTCTGAGCCTGGACCTCCACGTGCAGAAAGCCCCCTAGGGCCGGAGAGCGAGCGAGCGAGCTGGGAACGCTTTATGTGTCTACACCTGCCAGCCAGGGAGAAAACCCCCGTCCTCCATGTGGGCGAACGCACTGTCCTTTTCTCGCGAGGCAGCTCTCTGTCCCATCGTGGGCAGGACATGATTTCATGCTCCTCCGCGTTGGCCCACCCCTTGACGGCCGAGGAAACCTGAGTGCTGTTTTAATTACGGCTTTTTCTTGCGCGATGTCTTTACTTCGGCGCAGCAGAGGGTACGCCTGTGGTAGGAGGAAGTGCTCTGGACGTCACCCGGGGTTCGGGGTGATTCTGGTGGTGATGCCTGTGTTCTCCCCGCCCCTCTCTTTGCTGCTTTTTTCACATGACGGAAGGCGAACGCTTCAGCCCCTGGAGTGACGCGTCCCCTGGGTGAGGCTCTGTGCCTCCAGCCGCGGCAGGCGTGAGCGGCTGCCGGGTCCGCCCAGGCCGGCCAGAGGGGGCACACCAGCTCCCGGGGCGTGTTGCACCCTGCTGTGCATCTCACTTGCGACCTTTAGCTCGGGGCCACGGTGTACCCCAGCAGGTACAGCCCCTGGCACGGGGCCCCGACGTCGGATGGCCGGGTTCGGCTGGTTGAATGACCTTGGGCAGGCCGTTTGACCCCTGAGGCTCGTCATCTGCTACATGGAGACTGGTATACGTGCCCCTCAGAGCACGTCGTGGGAACGAAGTGGAAACCCTTACCTAACAGGCCTGGCGCTGCGCCTGCCGCTCGGGGCGCACACGGTCCGTGGAGCTGCCGGCGAGTGAGGTTTGCTCTCGGGCCGTGTGCACGTCTTGCCCCGGGTCTGGAGTACGTGGTCTGTCAGCACATGTCCGCCAGACTGGCGGTGCGTCCAGTGCCGTTACCAACACACCGTGGGTCACCTCCTCTCTGCCCCTCTTGTCCCTCGGGTGGCGGTACGCCCTTCCTCGTAGCCTCGCTGGTGCTTTGATAGACCATTTAGTCTGCCTCTGCCTGGTGCTCCCTCCCCGTGTCTGCTGGGAAACGTTCAAGAAAAGACTTGGTTGCATCCAGAGGAAATACCTTCCTTAGGTTTGAATCTGTAGACGAAAGAGCGAGGGAGTTTCACTTCCCAGGAACATTGCTCCGTGAGTCCTCAGGGGGAGGCCATTTGCAGAGGCTGAGTCTGCCCAGGTACAAATTGGGGGCAGGGGTGCATATCACACCCCAAAAGTGAAGTCACTGAGAACTCACGGCAGACCCCGGGAGCACAGCGAGCCACGAGGAGTAATTTCTCGTTTGTTTTCCAGGCACAGATGTGAAAGACGCCAAGGTGATCAGTATTTCCACGGGGACAAAGTGCATCAATGGCGAGTACATGAGTGACCGTGGCCTTGCATTAAATGACTGCCATGCAGAAATTATAGCTCGGAGATCCTTGCTTAGATTTCTTTATACACAACTTGAGCTTTACTTAAAGTAAGTTTAGTAAGTAAATAACTAAAGGAAGCAGTTTCTAAATAACATTCCCTCCTGTCAGAATGTATTGCAAAACCTTCATTGTTTCTGTAATCTCTGAAAAATTCTTAAAATAGTAACTTTATTGGCAATGATGAGGTTGGGTCCTGTTTTCCCATGATGCTCAAGCTACAAAATCCAGTCGGGTGAATACTACACACGCATGCACACGTGTGGTGGCTCATGTGGCCGTCGATCTGAGGTCTGTGCTCAGGCCCGTGTGCTTCTGGTCTGCGTGGCATGAACCTGAGCAGAACCGAGCCGCCTGGGGACCGGGCCATTCATTCTAGTCACCTGTCTGAGCTGATTTTCTTTACCAAGCCATTTCTTACGTGTCGCCTGTCTGTGTCGAAGTCCTAAACGAGAAGAAGGGAAGGTCACTCACGTTCCGATGACTTGTTCTTTATTGAGTGAACTCAGTCATTAACTGTGTTAATTATCATCAACACGTCAACATCCCAGTTCAAGCTCATCTGTACTTTGTTGAAAGTAGTGGCCTCTGAAAGTCATTGTAAATTACGACAAAGTTTTGACTGTATACAGCTTGAAAGATCATTTTTGCAACCCTTTTCCTTCTAGTAACAAAGACGATCAAAAACGGTCCATCTTTCAGAAGTCTGAGCGGGGAGGGTTTAAGCTGAAGGAGAGTGTTCAGTTCCATCTGTACATCAGCACGTCTCCCTGTGGGGACGCCAGGATCTTCTCACCGCACGAGCCGATCCTGGAAGGTATGGGACTCAGCCGGCAGTGTCTCAAGCAGACTCGGGGTTACGTAGTGACAGACCGAAGAGTAAACCTACGTGAATATCCTTTTCTTCTTTTTCTTGAAAATTTCAGCTTTGAAAGTGGATCTGATAGGAATATATAGAAGCATGAGGTTTTTCTTTTCAATGAATAATTTGATGAGGAGACCTGACTGAACGAGACGTGTTGACTCTGATGCACTAAGGAATTAGAGTAGAAGTAAGGGTATTAACTCAGATACAGTCTGTATCTCTGCATCTGGGCTTTGGACGGGCCATGATTTGATGTGTGTGTACCTGCGGGAGTGGCGGGCATTTCAGAAGCAGGCACGCACTAGTGAGAAGGGGGCCCTGGCGCACCATCACGTGAGGCCCATGCTTCTGCTATACAGTGATTCGTGTGCTCGTCTCTTCTCCTAAGCTGAAGCAACTCAAATACAGCATCTGAGTGCATTATTTTCCTTGATTCCAGAGGCAACATATATGCACTGTGGAAAATTGCTACATATTTTTTTAAAATATAAGAAAAAATTTTAATCGCCCATGTTCATGTAACCCAGAGATACTCACTTTAGATGTTTGTGCGTGCATGCTTCCTCTGCATTTATTTCAGCATCCCTGTAATTTAATTTTTGGGACATTTAAAAATGCAGGGAAAATATATAACCCTCACATATCCATCATCTAGAATTAGCAAATGTTAGCATTTTGTCCCGTTTGCTTCAGCTCATTTTTAATGATAGAAATCATTCTGGTTAAAATGGAAGTCCTCTTTCCCCAGCCCCTAGAGGAGACCACTTTCCTGAATTTGGTTTGTATTACATCCTCTCCTGCCCAGTTTTCTCTACCATGTTGTACGTCTGTCTTAGAGAGAGAGAGAATAAGCATGTGCACAGGGCCGTGAGCTGACGTTAGATGTCTAGGGGGTTGCTGCCCGCGGGACCCTCATCCAGCCTCCCTTTCCTAGAACCAGCGGACAGACATCCAAACCGCAAAGCCAGAGGACAGCTGCGGACGAAAATAGAGTCTGGCGAAGGCACAATTCCCGTGCGATCCAATGCAAGCCTCCAGACGTGGGACGGGGTGCTGCAGGGCGAGAGGCTGCTCACCATGTCCTGCAGCGACAAGATGGCGCGGTAAGGCCTCCCGCCCGCGGGCTCCCTGCAGGCGCACGGTTCGTCCGCGTTTCCAGCTCCAGTGTTCCCCGCATTCTCTGCAGGACTGAGACTCTGTGCGGTGCCTTTGGGGGCCACCTTGCAGGGGTTGAGCTGGGGCCTCCACACAGGAGGCTCTGGGCCGCTCACACTGCTTTGCTTCTGTGTTTGCACGTGTGGGCTTCTAGTGAGTCCGTGTGCTAGACGGTGACGTTTTAAAACAGTTTGCCCCCAGAAAAAAGGAAGAGTGTCCTTATTCCTAGGGGATGCCACCTTACGGGTCCTGCTCGTGGCCCAGGTACCAGTTTGGGTTATTGTGAGAGCAGAGTGTCCCTAGCGTCCCGTGCCGGGTGGTGGCTGCCGGCGAGCCTGGGGTTGGAGCCTGGAACACACACACCCGTTTGCCTTCACGTGACAGGTGTTTTCAGAAACAGATGTGTCCAGGCCAGACTTTTAAAAAAGCCTCATTTCTTCGGATGCTAGCGTTAGTTGCATTAGCTCTTTGTTTTTATTTTTTAACAAATGTCTACTTGAAAAGAAAAGTAACATAGGTAGATGGCAAAAAGTTCAACGGGACAGAGCATGGAAAACAAAGATCTCCTCCGTCTTCAGAGCCACCCACGTGAATGCGTTCCAAGCTGCCCTTCCAGAGTGGTCACAGCCGTGTGAATGTATGCGCATGACCCTGTTCGGTTGTCTGTAAGCCTTTTGTGTTGAGTTTCTTGAATGGACCTTGTCAGGGAACCTCAAGTACACAGAATTTGATTCCTCACGCATGGCCCATCCCCCCCCAATATATGTTTTAGATAACAGATATGTTTGGTATGTTTTAGATAACAGATGTGTTTTTGGTATGTTTTAGATATCCCCAAGCACAGGTACTCACTATGCCCACCTTGACTCATTTGCTTATTATGTGTCCTTCTGTCCACTCTCCATTCACTTTTATGTCAGTGTGTGTGTAGCCTTGAAAAATACACAGTGGTGTCATTTTGGGGTATTTATGCGTATGTTGTTAATTTATGGAGATGGAATTGTGTTTTAAATGCTATTCTGTATCTCATAGTTTCATTCAACCCAGTGTTTAGGAACTGTCCCTGATGCTGTAATAAATAGCGGATTGCTTACTTCTCAGTTCTGCAAAGACCCTGTCATAGTCATGGACTGCGCCATGTCCGTTCCCTCACGGTCGAGACTTGGGTCTGCCCTAACTCTCCTCTATGGTTCAGCTTGAGTTTCCATGAGCGTAGCTCATTCTAGACCTTCGCCATCCAGGATCTCCGCTGTACACATGTAGAACTTCACAGATGATATCAGACGCGCCCCAGAACGCTCACATGGTTTGCACTTACACCAACAGTGCGTGATGCTAGTTTCTGCCTCATTTGAAGACTGGCGTCTGCTGGGGGTGTGGGGCAGCCATTCCGTCGTTCATCTTTCTCATCAGAGGTGCCTGTTGACACCCTCTGCCCATTTGTCTTTGGGATCTCATGGTTTTTTTATCTTCATCTGCAGATGTTCCTCATATAGTTTGCACTGCAGTCCTTGATGGTTTCAGAAGTTCTGTGTCTTCTCCAGTCCAAACCCATGTCTTTACTTGGTCCGTGCCAGACCTTCGTTTTGTTATTACCTGATCCATTAATTTTTCACCCTGTGGTTTGCACTTTCAGAATCTTATTTAAGAAATTCCTTCTCAAATTAAGGATGTAAAAATATTCTCCCATACTTTTTTTCTAAGATTTTTATCATTTTACTTTCAAATTTAGACCTCTAACACATTTGTATTTGTAAGTAATAATTTGGCTTTATTATTTTAATACAGTGAATCAGTTTTCCAGGTACCATCTACTAAATAATTGACGTTTTCCTCGTTGATCTGTGAAGGCATCTCTATTACATACTGAACTCTCTTACAAAGATGGGTCTGTTTCGAGCCTCTCAAATCACCGTTAGCTCATAATCAGATGTAATTGTATGGATCACACAGTTTTTACACTTCTGACATTTCAGCATGTTTAAAGGTAGCTTTTTATGTACCTCTATTCTTCTGTACATATTTTAGAATCAGCTCAAGTGTCACCAGATGTCTTGCTCACATTTTATATGGACTTGTGAAATTATGGATGGAAATGGAAAAAATTAACATAAAGTTAAATCAGTCCATCCATGAATATTGGCTCCTTAAAAAGTTGAACATATAATTACCATATGATCCAGCAATTCCACTTCTGGGTATTTGCCCCAAAGAACTGAAAGAGATACTTGTTCACCCACACTCACTCATGGTCACTTTTAGCTCACAAGAGCTAAAAAACATGGTGAGGTGTCTGTTAAGATCTTTCACCCATTTTTTAATAGGGTAGCTTATTTTGTTTTCTTTTTGGGTTTTAAGAGTTTTTTTGGTATGTTTTAGATAACAGTCCTTTATCGGATATATCTTCTGCAAAATTTTCTCCCAGTCTGTGGCTTTTCTTCTCATTCTGTGGATATTGTTTTTAGCCAAGCAAAAGTTTTAAGTTTTAATACAGTCCAACCTGTCAATATTTCTTTCATGGATTGTGCCTTTGGTGTTGCTTGGAAAATGTCATCACCAAACCTAGGGTCATCTAGATTTTCTCCTGTGTTGTTTTCTAGGAGCTTTATGGTTTTGCATTCTACATTTGGGTCTGTGATCCACTGTGAGTTAGTTTTTGTGAAGGGTGTAAGGTCTGTGTCTAGAGTCATTTTTTTTGCGTGTGGACATCCTGTTGTTCCAGCCCCACCTGTTGAAGAGACTCTGGTTGCTCCCTTGTGTTGCCTTTGTTTCTTTAGCAAAGATCTGTTAACTTCATCTTTGTGGGTCTATTTTTGGGCTCTCTTTTCTGTTGCCTTGATCTGTTTGTCTGTTGTTTTACCAGTACTACACTGTCTTGATTACCATTTGGATTTTGAATCCAGTTCTGTTGTATGTGTGTGTAGGAGGGATTGGTCCCTCACACATCTAACAAGGAATCTTCGGCACCAGCTGGGTGTCCTACAACTCGCCTGTGCTTCTGACCAACCAGCTATAAACTGGAGGTCTCAAAGACCTCCTCCTTGGGTTCAATTAATTTGCTAGAGCAGCTCATAGATCTCAGAGAAACCTTTTACTCACTAAATCGCCAGCATATTAGAAAAGGATGTAACTCAGTAACAGCTAGATGAAGAGATGCAGAGGGCGGGTCATGGGGGGAGGGTCAAGGAGCTTACAAGCCCTCTCCAGGTGCATTGCTCTCCTCACATCCACATGTCCGCCAACCCGGAAGCTTCAAACCCTGTCCTTTGGGGTTTTTATGGAAACTTCATTACATAGGCACAATTCATTAAATCATTGGCCACTGGTGATTTTTAAAAATTTTTTTAAATATTTTTAAAATTTCTTAAGTAATCTCTACACCCAACGTTGGGTTCGAACTCACGACCCCAAGATCAAGAGTCTCATCCTGTACCAACTGAACCAGCCAGGCGCCCCAAATCATTGGCCATGGGTGATTAACTCAATCTCAAGGCCCTTTCCCCTCCTTGGAGATCAGGAGAGGGGGATGGGTCTGGAAGTTCCACCCCTCTAAACCAACCCTCATCCTTAGATGCTTTCTAAAAGTCACCTCGTTAATGTAGCAAAAGACACCTTTGAGGCCCTCATCGCTCAGGAAATTCCAAGGGTTCTAGGAGCCATGAGCCAGGAACCATGGATGAAGACCAAACATATATAAGGGCAAAATATAGTTCTTATAAATCACAATATCACAATTACTGTAGCTTTATAGTCAGTTGTGAAGCCACAGAGTGTCAGTCCTTCCGCATTGTTTTCCTCCAGTGTTGTCTTGGTTATTCGGGGTCTTTTGCCTCCATTTGAACTTTAGAATCCGTTTGTCAGTACCTGCAAAATACCTTGCTGGGATTTTGACTAAGACTCATTGAATCTAGATGAAGGTGGGAAGAGCTGATATCCTGACAATATTGAGTGGTCCTATCCATGAACATGGAATATCTCTCCTATTTATTTCTTTGATTCTTTTTTCAGAGTTTGGTAGTTTCCTCGTATAGATTTTGTATGTATTTTGTTAGAGTTATACCTAAGTATTTAATTTTTGGAGTCATTAATGTAAATGGCATCATGTTTTATAATTTTAAATTCCACTTGCTCCATATTAGCCACACTGACTTTTGACCAAGGTGCAATGGTAATTCAATGGGAAAAAGTCTTTTTAACAAGTGGTGCTGGGACAATTGGACATCTCTATGTAAAAACAAACAAATGAACTTCATATTTTGCACCATATGCAAAAGTTAACTCGAGATGGATCATAGACTGAAATGTGTAAAGGTTATAGAAGAAAGCAAGGGAAGATGCTTGCAGTTGTGGTAGGCACCTTCTTAGATAATACACCAGAGGCACTCAACTCCATCAGATTAAAATTACTTCTCTTTTGAACACACCATTAAAAGAATGAGAAATAAAGTCACCGACTGGCAGAAAATATTCACAAATCAGGTATCTGATAAAGGGCCTGTACGCAATATTAAAATTTAGACCCTCAAAACTCAACACAGGGGAAAAGCAATTTTAAAATGGGCAAAGTATCTGAATGGACACTTCATCAAAAAAGATGTCAAAGAAGCACATGACGAGACGCTCAACACTGTCCTCACTGGGAAATGCACGTGAAGCACAAAAGCACACCCATCAGAATGCTGAGCATATGAGGTGTGGACAGTGATGCAGGGAAACAATGCCCTTGGCCGCCGAGGGTGGGCATGCAGATGGCACAACCACTTGTGAAGAGCTCGGCAGTGTCTTAAAAAGTTAAAGATGTGCCTAGCCCGTGTCCAGACTCACACCCAAGTGTGCCTAGCAGCTGTCTTTGTAGAAGTCAGAAAGTGGAAACAAACCAAATGGCCGACTGTAGGGAAGTAGATGAATACGTGGTGGTGTGTCCACACAGTGGGATACTCCTTGGGGA